AAAAAAGAAAGATTAAACAGTTAGTCAGTTCCTGTTCTATTAAAATGGTAAAATAGTTTTAATTTTAAAAAATTGAAATTTTCGCCAGGAGTGTAAAATACTCGGGGCTGTAGAATAGTCCAAAGGTTCAATAGTCCGAATGAATAAAGTGTACAATGTACTGGTGATAAAGTAAAGTTCATCAGAGATGGGTGCATATCATTTTTTTGACCTAAGAAACTTCGGACCAATGAACCTTCAGATTATTGAGACACCCGCAAATATTCCACAGTCTGTGTCAAGTTTTTTTTTCTTGACAACTGCAGTGTACAGTAACTGTAAACAAGATGCTAAAAGTACATGTGGGGAATTTAAACACAGAGCGCACACAGATAGGGGGAGTCAGTGCTATTATTAAAAAGCAAAAAAGGTCATAAGCAAAAAAAAAAAAAAAAAAAAAAAAAAAAACTGAAAGTGAAACTGGAAGTGACCTGCATGTCATATCATATCATCTCAGCAACAGCGTGCATGTGGTCACACTAGCCCCTCACCTTGCTTTCACTTCAGTGCATGTGCACTGCAATCATCTTAAGTGAAAAATTTGTGTTGAACAAAATGGGACCAATCGACCTAGGCTTTGGTTGCAAGGAACAAGGCATCAAAGATGGTTCACTATTAATGACAATACTAAGTAGAAAATTATTCCGATGCTCTGCTCATAGCAAAGAGTGAATTTACGGTATGGGAGCGATCAAAGAGTCGGTCTCACAGAACGAAGTAAGATCTGTCACAGTATGTGGGCGCAGACATATTGTTTGCTTCTGAGGTCAAGATTGATCCTAAAAATGGGAATCGTTTTTAATAAAATATACATATCATAATGCAACCAAATGAATTTTGTTGAGAATGGTTGATTTGGCAGTTGGTCGAAATTCAAGAAGTTATTTTTATTAATGCATTTTATTTCTGTCACATACAATCTTGATTTAGATTGTAGCCAAGATGTCTGCGATATCCTGTACATTATAATAGACTTTGATGTTGAACAAAGGACGTATCCTGTCGCAGTGTCACCCTGATGCTTAAGGTACTTCATTTAGTTTCTGTATTTAGCCGACAGAAAGCTATTTTGCCCTGATGTTTACAACTCGGTCGTTCATAGCGCCTCCATCGCTGCATTGAATCATTTTCATTTTTCTTTTTTTGTTCTTATTCGTATTCATCATTAAATGAAAAGCATTAACGCTGACCGTCTTTGTTTAACAGCAGATATAGAATTTAATGTATAAATAGTAATGGTCCGTGTATGGGGGGGCAAAGTGATTTCCATTTCGTCAGAAAATGAAAAAACGGCCGTTTTTCATTTTCATTTTATAGAAATGGCCAAAATGTAATGGAAAATGAAACTCAGTTTTCGTTTTTCCATTTAAAATGAAAAATGGAAAAACGGAAATTGCCCTCGTTTTTTATATTTTACTATAAAATGCAAAATACAATATCGACAGATCCCCGATGCGGTAGAAAATATAAATATCGACCGTTTTCGTTTTTTCTAATGTTTAACAGGTGAAATAAATCATAAAATGCCCTTATATTCCTGTCTTTGAGGAAATGACAGCTTTAAAAAGTGTTCATTATTCAATTTCCGAATCAAATAGAAAAACGGAAGTCCGTTCGTTTTTCTGATTTTCATTTTATGAATGAAAATGGAGAAACGGATGTGCAGACACACAGACAGAGAAATGGCAGCCGCTTCAAGTTTATAAGTTATTGGTGACTAAATTCTGTCAGATAAAGCTTAAATGCAATGAATTAATTTTATAAATACTGCAGAATTTTGGGATATGCTGTTGACGTTGGTCTAAAACTTCCACTTAAAGGCATAACAGAAACGGAGATTCATTACAAGTGTGCACAAGAGAGTTCAACTTTGTGCAACAGACTGGTATATTGCAAACAATGCATGTGCCAGCTGTTTGTGTGCTGAAAATATATTCTAATCAGACTGTTTTAATCCTCTACCCACTGTGAATAACTTTCATGGAAAATTAGGTTTTAATAAAGTATTTGATTATTATCATATTTTTGTTGTTGTTTATTGTAGATCCGCTGATTTGTAGATAATAGGCCTATAGGCCTACTATTTAGCTTCAACGGCACGATTTAAAACTTAAACAATTTGTCTTTGTTCTCATCCTTGATCAGTCTTACTTCTTTAAAAATCAGTCTTATTGTTTAATGATTTATTGCAGCGCGTGTTTCCTCTTATTTGAAAGTTTGGTCAGAAAATGCTGATGTTNTATTTATCACTGTATTTACTTTATTTTACTCACTTAAACTACATGCTTCACCTGTGAGACTTCTCTTGCACAAGGTATTACTCAAGAAATCAAAAAGACATTTATTCTGTGTCAACACTATCAACCTTGATTTAGCACCGATTATCTTTTCTAAAGGAAGAAGGGGATGTTGTGGTTCTTAACACTATCGGTCAAGCTTATAGTAACCCCAACCCTCTGTCATCAATTATCATTAAATAGCACTCTCACTAATGTACGTAGTATAAACACACTTGACAGTGATCCCTCTGATCAGTAGACACACAATGTATTTATATCTGCACACTTAGAAATAAAGTTAGTTGTTGCAGTCAAGTTCTTCCTTGGAGTTGTTTCAGCATCATACAAATATTGATTTGGGAAAAAATAGTTATTACTTAAGTCTTTTGTTGTGACTGAGCTCTGTGTACAGCAATGTCTATACTTACTACAGTGTCATTCAGTTTTATCAGTCCCACAACTGACGAAAAAGAGTTGATGACGGTCAGCCCATACAATGGTCCCTGAAATCATTCCACAATAACATGTTCTTAAATATCTTTTAAAAGATACAAGTCAAGCTGTTAAAAAAATAATAACGATTTTAAACAAAATATCACTTTTTGATAGCAATATTTAATTCAAAAGCAGCTAGAATATGACATTCCAGACATAAAAACTTAGATATATTTCGGCATAATTTTTCTTGAATTATAATTCTTTATCAGTTACAATTCTATCCTATAGTTTATGCAAATAAATAAATCAGAGCAAAAAAAAAGGTTCACATTCATACACCCAGACTCAACCATGCAGCACCTGATGCTCCCCTTCAAATCTAGTCATGTGGAAAGAACGACCCTCATCCAGTGACCTTGCAAACTCCAGTGTTGCCGAATTAGCATTATATCCTAGAGCCACCATGTTCATCCTCTTACACCAAAGGCTGACAGCATCGCAACAAGGAAATGCTGCCAAATTTGTCAACATGACCCCACTTCCTGTCACTAGTGTAGAATTTCCAAAAGTAACTATCAAATAAAAATGATTTCAGGTCAGATGCATCTTTGTATCATATTTTTACTGTCTTCCTGTAAGTTTAATCTTAACAAGTTACTTCAAATCATTTATTAAAACTAAAAAAATGTTACTGTATTTCGGTAACAATTTTCAATTTAATTAAAACCAAGTTAATTTTTAAATAATAATGATAAGAAGATTTGAAATTACCATTCAGTTCAGCTGTACTGAAATTTTTTAACGTCCAATTGTAGATAAATGGCCGTCCATTGATTGCCAGGAGCAGGTGGTGGGAGGTGAAGGTCGCATCTGTAACTATGGCAACAGTTTCACCAATCAAAGCTTGGTTAATACTTAGCGGCTGTGCAGGACTGCTAAACAGATCTTGAGTCACATAAATTTTGTATCTGGAGAAATTTGAAAATGGTAATATATACAAAAAAGTTTAGTATAAAGAATATAATTAAAAGGATAGCAACTGTTCATTTAGGCCAAAAAATGTATTTTCCTAAGGTAAACGACAATTTTCCCATACTTAGTTAATGAATCCATTACTACATTCAAAGTTTTTTTTTTTGTAATAATCTCCTAAGAGATTATTATCTCCTAAGAGATAATCTCCTAAGAGATTATTACATCTTGTTTAGCCATCTAAGGAGGTCACATGGTCTGATGAAAAGCACAGATTTAAGAATAATTGCTATAACTGCAGTTTTTGTGGTAAAATAGAATATATTTCTATGAGTTGTTTACAATGTATTCATTGTGAAATCTGTCGCATGCAAAGAGTAATCATCCCTTTAGTCTTGTGTTATCAAAAAGAGTACTAGTAGGATAAAAGAAGTTTTAGGTTTCATGTTCAACATCGTTTTTTTGGATATAGACACAGACAAACAATTTTTAACTAATTTTATTTTTTAAAAAATAATAAAAAAATCATTTTAACAGTGGACGCAAAATATTTTCACTATATGCACATAATCTGCCAAAATCTTATCTGCAATTAAACTTACTGTGTATTCAAGCAGGGTTCTCCCCAGAAATTAAAAATAGACCTTATTTTTTTTCACGAGAGTACCGAGGCTTGCGAAGCGAGGTACAAAGGGGGGGGGGGGGGGGGGGGGGGGTGGGGGGGNCAGCACTAAATTTTTAACTGTAAATAAGCTAGGTGATGCTAAAGTCATTATAGAAAACATCATACAAAATTTCATGTTTTATTTTGGCAAATAAACAATATTTCAACAAGATCTTCAGTCCCAAAGATTTCACGTTCTATAGTAAGTAGATAGCATACAACGTATTTAATTGACAGGCAGTATGTTGCCTTGACAACGAACTAGATATATCTAGTTCATCCAGATCAATCTGGCTGTTGTACCCTGCACAGTACTTGTGTAGTTTCTGTTTTTGGAACGGTCTTTATCTCCAGAGCACGAAGATTTTTAACCAAATAAATATTCAGTAGTGAGCCTGTTATGTGAATAAATTTTGTTTTGTGAAGTTCTGGAGGGTGTTCACTTTCATAATTTGGCGGTAAGTTTGTTCACAATTCATTTTGCGACTGCATTAATGTGTTTTGTGCCAAAAGTAGGTCACTCTTTTCACAACCATCTAGGAAGAGAAAAAGACGTTAGTATGCATCAAAAATGATTTTTAAAAAGATTTTTGCTCCAAATTTCTCATAAATCATGACCTGTCCGTCGGACAGCCAACCCTGTAACTTCACGGAACTGAATTTTTTTACCTTAAAGAAACGTGTCAGCAAAAAAAGGAACGTATCGGCAAAAAGAAGTGCGTATCGCTGCCGATACGCTATAAAGGCCTGGGGAGAACCCTGTCAAGTATTTTCCTAAGCTATTCTGTCAAAATTTTACATTATTTACAATACCTTATACCAAAAACTGAAACAAACAGTTCACCTTGCATATAGTGCCACTTGTTTCAAGCAGTTGTGCTGCAGCAAAACTGGGTGAGTGCGATTCCATAGCAGCAGCACCTATAGGAGAAAACAAGTCTATAGTATACCATATATACTATCAATAACACTGACATCCTCAACTAATTAATTATAACATTAATATTCATTAAATACAGTATTAAATCACAAGAGCTTTCAGTTATATCACATGACATATTTTAATTGCTGTATTACTTTCAATGACTCAGGCCAAAACTCCCATGAAAATTTCGTTTCCCCCGAGTTGGTATGATGCTACAGAAGTTAAAATGTACTGAGTATGAAATGGAAGTACAGTAACTACATTTCGGCCTTATTCTAATCACACGGATCACACAGTTTCAGGGAAACTGAAAATGGTCAATATTATCATCTACAGCCATTGGCAAATGAACTTTTACCTATTTGCTGAAAACAATTATATGTTTTATAAATTATAATGTGTAATAACAATCACATAAAAGAAATCGTGTTATTTGTATAACTTAATACCTCTCCACTTGGTAGTTGTGTCTCTAGTATCGGCAGTCTCTCAATCTTGGGTGTTGGGGTTTCTAGAGTTCGGGACTGCATCCTGTTTGTTAACAAATGGACAATTTACAAATTATAGAATAATTTAGCATGACCAATATATTTTTCAAATTATGATTGACATGATTGCTTTTGTATCAGCGAAATTGAAATGAAAACAATAAGGCTATATTTAAGTCAAAGATCGTAAACATTTTATTTTTACAAATAAAGACGTTAATGTACTGACTTCATTTGTTGATTCTCAACATAAATTTTCATGGTGTCTTGCTTGTTAAATCAATTCATACAATAATGTGCATAAAACTTTTAAAAAAATGAACTAAGAACTTTCACATTAAAGGTAAGTGAAAGAGTCAGCCGCAAAGTACATCCTCATCGTATTTACTGTGATGGCAGTGACAGACCCCAATGAAGCATGAGTCTAGGCTGGTTACTGCCCCAGCATATAATGCAAAACAGAATTTTTATGACATATAATCATGGAACAGAATATCTAACCTTTCACACACAAGATCGGGGACAGATTCTGGTTCGGCATGTTCTGCGGAAGCCGTAAATAAACACAAATATGAGAAGAAAAGTGGCAAAACTTCGAACATCATCATTGTCCTTTCCAATCACGCGAAAATGGCGCCTACTCTCACGAGAAAAGTCCAATGCATGCTGGGTAATTTTCAAATCGAGGGTATGACGTCAACAAAGCAGTTTTCAAATTTTTTCGGGAGGCACGCGGTTTTTGTTACAGCCATTTTTTCTGTTTGTCTATTTTTGTTTATGATTTTTCCCTTTATTATTGAAAACTATATTGTTTTTATGTTATGAGTCTTTTGCGCTACTTTCGCGACAGATGCAGGAGGCGTGATAGGGTGCAGATTTTGCCGGGAGAACGCTTATCCCTTCGTGAAGAACTTGAAAAACTGGAAGGCAACAATGTGAGATTTAAAGAGCTGATCGAAACTCCATCTTTTGATGCCGACACAATATGTTCATGTAAGGTGTGCATGCAAGATCTGGAGGTGAGCTGAAATTATTTATATCTTAATTTGAACACTAACGTTTAGGGAAATGATTGATGGGTCCCAGGTAAAGACTCACCATTTCAACATTATTTTTATCTGATTAATTAATTAATTAAAATTTATAAAGTTATTTAAAATCAATTAAGTTATCTTAAATCAGTTAAAAGATTAATTCAATGATCAGTTCATTTATTTATTTATCTTTTTTCTTATCTTAATTGGGGTCTGGATAGAGTAGGCCTCATTTATCCTTTTTCTATCACAAATTTTTTCAAAGTTCATGTATTGTGGACATTTAACCGCTGCTTCCCCTTCCGCCTCAAAGATTCTCCTGCCTACTTAGGGCTCTGCCATAGGCTACAGTTTGAATGCAGAACAAGTGTTAATAGGCCTACTTACTTGCAGAAACACATAGACTACATGATGACATTATTAAAGAATAAAGACAAAAGTCATGACGAGGCCTAGATATGGCTGTTTGTAATTCTTTCTCTTCAAGTCAGATCAATATTCCCACATTTTTAGATCTACGACACAAACGAGTATCCCCCAATGCAAGGCGTTAGGGAAAAGAGACGTGACACACTCTTCACAAATAAACTACGTAACTCCCCTCCGCAAGCGCCACCAATACCACCGTATCCAGAATATATCGAACTATCCGCCTACCACGAAGTTCCTTATTCTTATGAAATCAGAGAAATTATGCGCAATGTCAAGAGATGCCCCTATCTGAACGAGATGACCTCGTGGTACCAATCCAAACTGGACAACTTTTTGAAACGGAAAATGTAAGTAGGCCTACATGTCATTGTCGTTAATTAGGCCCTATTTCAGTTGGAGATATGCAACGGGCTTAATTATGGTTTTAATTGAACCAAATCGAAGCAATACAATTTTTTTGAGGGCTGGGGGTAGGAGGAGGGGGGGGGGGGGCAAAAAATGTAATCAATGTCGGAGGGGTTTGAGAAATAAGTTAAAAGAAATAAGAAAAAAATGCGTAACTCTCATACCAGATTTATGTTGACTTTGAAATAAAACATAACAGGATAAACAGCTTGAAAATCCGCTTTTATTCTTTTAGAAAAGTGAAGAAAATCTTGACGCAAGAACGCCGACATTTGGAACAACTTCAAAGAGAGATAAAAGAGACGGGCAGGTATATCTCTCTAACAGAAGAAGAAATCCGCAAACTCAAGAGCGAAATTGAACGCAAGCGGCTAGCTTTAAGTGATGACATTTTTGAAAGTTGGTACTTTTGGACATTGTTTGCTTAGTTTTGCAGATTTTTAATTGTCGTTTTTTTTATTCTTTTTTTTTTATTTTACTGCTATGCAGGTCAGTGTTACACCTTTTTTCTTTTTTCGTTGAATTTGTGATTTGTCCTTCTTATGAATGATCTTATGGTTACGTTGCACGGTTTAGATATTGCTTTTGAGTTCTAATAAAAGAAGAAAGGATAAAATGTAGACTAAATGATTTAGAGACTCGTCAATTTCAACTAAATCAAACTATTGTTGATTTGGCTATTCACAGAGAACTTCAAGAAAATCCATTTCAGAACATTATTGCTTTACTGTTGCAACTCAATATTTCATTGCAGATATTCCCATTCTTGAGAAAAACGTGAAGAAAGAAGGCGCGGCCATGTATGAAGCTTACAGAAAAGTAGCAACTCGCCAAGAAGCAGACGATCTCATCTCCGTCATCCAGGCCGAAATGCGCATGCTCAAACAGGCCCTGTTACTGGTGAGATGCAAAAAGTCAAAGATGAGGCGCAGCCTTGCAGAACGCCAAGCTGAGAGCGTCACCTCAATTTTGTGGTCGGCGGCCCTCGGGTTTGAAAACAACCGCGAAAATAGGAAGAAAAACGACCGCAAAAACATCACGAAAAATGACGCTCCCAAGGAAACGGCACTCTAAACTTGATACAGATTAAGTTAGATTAAATTTCTAGTTATTTGAAAGTTTTAGTTTAAGAAAATATTCTTTAAAAAGAATCTAATACTTTATTTATTCTTCTTCATTTCTACTACTTGGGGTGTACATGTACATTGGAGAGAGAGAGAGAGATCAGCAATTTCAAATTAAATAAAAATAAATAAACACGAATATAATTTGAAAGATATTTATTACCTATGACCATACACAGGTATGATGTGATATGAATGTAAGGAAAGCTTAGGCCCCTTAAACATTTACACAGAGAATTATTTCAGTGTTCTAGAAATCTACATAAAACATCAATCTGTACATTGTGACATATACTTGATGCAAACATGAATCGAATCTTGATCAATTTGTTTTCAAATGCCTCCGTAATAAACATTTTTAAAAATATTTTTTGACACCTGTTTAATTCCTGATAACAGTTTCTTAATAAGGTAAATATTTAAATTGTAATTTTGATATTTACACAAGTTTTTTTTTTAATTATTCAAAACATTGCTTATTATGGCTGCTGTGACAAATATTGTGTTGTATCATACATAATCCACTTGTCCTTTATCTTAAATCAATAAACAACCTTCGTATCAGTAACACCAATAAATCAAGAGGCTGTAACACTGTGACCTTATTGGACTTAACATGCTGATGATATTGGGATAAAACTGGAGGCTCAAGTGGAAGGTTTTTCCATATATTCTAGGTACAAGTTCACTCAACTGAAGTTGCCTTAAATCTTTCCATTACAAGAAGCCATGCTTCTTCTGAACAGAGAATTAAACTGACCATTCTTAGCTACGTATTGAAAATCCAGCAAGACATGAACTAATTGCACATTGCATTGTTATTTGCAAAAATAAATACACACACAAAAAGAAACAATCTACAGAAAAGATCACAACCAGCATGCAAGGAACAATTATATACTAGAGATTTTAAAACAATACACAAGCTTGTTAAAGAAATGTCTTTCCAAGTTCCCCAAACTTCTATAGGCTTGCCTAAGCATGCTTTGAGCAAACAGTATTTTTCAGTCATATACCAGGGGAAGCTGACAAAAGTTATCAGTATAGGAATTTTTAATAAATAAGTATGAAAATTATTGGGGTGCTTTGTTCAATAATAGACATAACAAAGATGGAAAAATCATACAGTGACTCATAATGTCTGCAATTATTGTCATAATAGTAAGTTCATTCATGGCCATTCCCAGTCACTGTCTAAATTAATACAAAGCAATGAATATTGACTACATGCAAATTTCATACACATAATTCGATATTTGCAAACATTTCTTTAAGCATAAATGCCATGTTTAATTTACCACATCTAGAAAATATGATAAAATTTGCATAATATTTCTTAGTTGGCTTTCAAAATCAAACAGCTGATGCTGCAAACTATCTTTGTTCATCTACCAAATTCATCACATAAAAGAGTTAAGTAATTGTCCTTTTAATGAGAGCGAAGTTAGCAAATTCCCGCAAAACAATGCTTTGTTTCTAATTGATGATCGAGACCCTTATAAAAGGTAACCAACTTTTACTCTGAAAAGTTCATTTTTAGGAGTGGCTGTGAATAATCACGTAAATATGAGATATAAGAAAAAGCAACAGTAACTGTTTTGAAGATTTCACGTAATTTCTGTACCATAAGATTTTTCATCTAAATTTCATTCCATGCCATATTGATACAATTTGGCCCATCATTTCAAATCCAACTAATTGTCCCTTTATATTAGTATATGTCAATGTCACAATTATACACATGAAATATATGAAAGAATTCACATTATAAATGGCAAAACTGTCACAAATGTTCCCATTTAACATTTCTCATTTTGCCAAACACTTGCTATTCAAGCATGAAGGAAGCCTGCTTCCTTTTAAATAGGTCCTAATCTCCTTAATATTTTGGCACTACCCTTCTCAAAACTTATCATAAATTTACCAGAAAAGATTTGGCAATAGAAAAGACTTATTCACTTCTACTTTTGTTGGAGTTTTGTTGGAAAAATAGTGCCAGCCACAGGTACATTCTTAAGCCCCACTAGATGGCAGCACTGCTATTCCAATACAGCCCAGTCCATAACTACTCCTTGCTGTGTAAAACAATCAAAAACAATCAATGTCACATTCAACCCCAGTATGTTACAAGTGCAACACTATAAGAGTACACACAATTATTTTCCACACAACTAAAATAGATTTGGTCTTGTGCCTCTGTTTTCTCCAAATATATTTTTTTATCTCTGACATTACTGCAAAACCGATCATCATAATATGACCATAGTGTCCATCATTTCACTGGTCGAGAGCTGACCCAATCACATGATCTCAATGGCAAATAAGAGATCCTGCATATAACTCAAGACTTATTCAAAGTGAGTCCATCCTGAAATATTGAAGTTCACATCAGACTCCTTCATTCATCTTTGGGCCTGTCTAAGAGGAAAGAGGGTGAACACTTCATGTCAGACCCTCAATTGTTTTTTTTTTTAAACAAGAGGGTAAAACACCTCTTCTTCTAAGTCACATATGATTTTATACCCCTGGCTTTGTTCTCTGAATTTGATCTTCTGCACCAAATATAAGACCAGATTGGATTGGCTGGAATGGCATCCAAGGTGATTGGCGATTTAATTGCCACAATCCAACGAATGTTGCAATTTTTCACATCCCTGAGAAAATACTTTCTCTTCCAGATGACCAATTTTCTAAACGATCTGCAGAAAGTAAATTTGGCCAACTTGCTTATTGTGTGTACAAATCTGCAGCAACAATGCAGCTACCATCAGCAGCAAATAATTCTTGCAACCTGACTGGGTGCAATTCAGCAGAAAAAAATCTGTGTTGTTTGACTGGTGCAGCTACAGATCAGCAACACGTAACACCCACTGCTCTCTCAATGGTCAAGATCATGCCTTCCGTACAAATTTCGCTGTGAAAATCTCTACCTTTTCCCTTTTAAGAAAGGAAACCAGTTTCTCTTTTTGTTGCTCACAGTGTCGTGACTAGAAATCCCTCGTGGCAGTGTGATATGTGACGGCACACTGTTCAAGACTTCTATATGATATGGGTAGGGCATACGAGACACTTTTCTTGAAATTCCCTTTTCTGGAATGAAAATACAAATAAACCAAAATTATTTCTTGCTGAAAAAATGGCAAATTTTCAGTATATGTACAAAGTTGTATACGTGCAGTATAGATTAACATTTTTATTATTTGAATTTTCAATCATTCATTTCTAATAACAACATGTTATTTCATATTACAAAAACTGTATAATTTAGAAGAGATTAAAGCTCATTTCATTATATATCCACACAGAAGGGACACACACACATATATAGGGAAGTAATGAAAGATACCAAGATGAATGGAAGTACAGTATGTCTAAAAAATCACCTAATGGTTTCTCTGGATAAGACCTCTTTGAATGCTGCTTGGAATGGTGCTTGGAGTTGATGGCAGCTTTCTTCATCCTCTCAGGCACCACAAAATTATTTTCTTGATCCTCCCGGACCCTGCGTCTCTCCTCCCTGAATGCCTGCAACCAGCGATCTCTATCCTCGGGCGTCTTGCTGCAGATGAGGTACCATTTGTCGATTGAGGCGTCGTGAAGTTTAAGAGCATTTTTTACACTGGCGTTGAACTGTGAGTCTGAACAGAAAAAAAACAAGGCATCATTGTAGTGAATATTGAAATTTCATTCAAACCATAGGATCAGTAGTTTTTGAATCACTCCTGACAGTGCACAGAAAAATTCCATTCTCCACCAACCCTTGAAAAAAAAAAATAGTAGAATCTTACAGCTTGATTTACTTCAACAGACTTAAACCATATTTAGAGGTGAAAAAATAATTTCTGACAGTCTTGAATCATTCAAACATCAACAATCTCATATTTTCATCCTTGTGGCAACCACAGCTTCTATCAAACGACCAACGGTTACATACGTACCTTTGCCATCCTCAATTTGAATGACATTACAATGGTCCATGTCTATTCTTCCACGGAAACTGTAACTGTCTCTCTTCAACATGTCCTAAAATGTTAATAAGCACATTAAATTCTGATGACTAGACAGCAAAGCTGACAAATATACAGACACCAAAAAGGAAGGAAAATTTTAATTCTGATATAAACAGTATAACAATTTCACATGATATTAAATCATATGTGCTCTCTCTCTCTCTCTCTCAAGATAGGCATATCAGTTTATGTGCCAGTTACAGATATGCCTATCTTGTTGAATATTGGGTTGGTATGCCATGAACATGGGATATCATCTGCTGTGCAAACTAAAAAAGAAATTCTCTCTCTCTCTCTCTCTCACACACACACTTCTGGTTACCTTTTTGCAGTAAATGAGTAAATGGTCAAATAAGAACAGTGTCCTGTCTTGTGTCCAGCCGGTAGAGTTCACCTTACACACCTCAGCAGAGTAGATCAGCTCTGAGCTGGTCTCCAGTAAATGAGGGCCCTGGAACAACAAGTATTTACTGTTAATAGGTAATGGCCTTTTTTTTTTCAAAAAATTAATAATCAATCAGAATCAATAATAAAAAACCTAATGTTTTTAAAACTGAAATCTAAACTTTACTATATAAGATAAATTTACTGCTATATAGGAAAAATAATTTTGAATGTCACATACAATAAACAATATATTGAAACAGCTTTCTTACAATAAACAATATATTCAATGCAATCTTTACTAGTATTTCAGTCAAATTATAGCAGCTTAAATTGGGCCATCTCTCTCACACACAACACATTCTCTCTCTCTCTCTTACCCAAGACTGCTACTCCATGTGGAATTACTTCCAAACCTAAATACACAAGCACACTAAACGACCTACCTCCCAGTCTTCAACAGACCGCTGCCATGCTGCTATCTTCTCCACGCTCTCCATTTTTCTCTTCCGCTCGTTAATCAGCACAGCGATCTTCCTCATTGTCTCCAGGGCCTCTTGGACCGTGTCGTAATCCCTGTGCTCAGGTCGCGTGTACTTTAACAGCTCGGCTAACTGAAGTGGGTACTTGCATATCTTCTGGACTGGCGTCAGGAGAAAACCCTCTAGCGGGATCTGTATCATGTCTTGGAGGAGCCGACACGCCTGAAATAATGTGAAATAAAACCCTTTTACCAAAATGTAAGGTGGGACGACATGAATTTGGAGGTACTCGACTTGTTGAGCAAGGCAGCGGGAGCACCCATATCATAGAAGTTTGCAAGAAACAGGACACTTTCTAAACAGATCTAGCGAATCAACAGCGATCAATGTGCCACCTGGACACACACCTCCATGATATAAAGAACACATTACATTCTTTTTTGCAAGGGCAGACAGAAGCTGTCTTCCGATCTTCTGGAAAACGGTCACAATTTTTCAAGTTTACATTGTTGGGGATCTCACTTTTTTACTTTCGAAAGCTTAAGACAGTCAAAAACCTAATTATCATGATAGTTAGAAATTCAGGTAGAGTAACTGCCAGCCAGGAAAGAAACTCACCTCAAAGAAATGTTTATATTTCTTATTTTTCTGCACCTCCTTCAGTTCCTCACAGGCAGCAGGGTGATTGTTGCAGTAATCGGAGTAGATTTCAAACCCTTTGCTCTGGAGGTAAAAAAAAAAAAAAACATTAACAAAATATACAATAATAGACAAAATTACAATGAGAAATACTTTACTGGTATATGTGGCCATAACTGACAAAGTAAAGAATAATATAATTTATACGTCAGTTGAAAGTGAATCTAAAACTAATACACCTCAACTTTTTTACATCTGCTAGTGACCTAAAGCAAACCATGTGTTTTTACTTATCAGCATGAATTTGCTTAATTTAACCATAATATAATTTGATACTAAGTCAATAGCACAATTTTTTAGATATTAAAACATGCAAGCACGTGTTCATTTTAATTACACATTATACATACATGGTTAATAAAACACTGGCCAATTTCACTCAGGTGGGGCATAGTTTCATTGTAACACGTCTCCAGCTCTTCCAAGAATTCACTGGTAAACTCGTAAATCTCCTCCATGTTACTGAAGATCAAACGGATTCTCTCCTCTGAGAACATCTCTGGCCGTTTTCTGGCTTGTTTGACGTACCCCTGCAGAGGGAAGGGAAGAATTAAAGTTAGAGAACTTGCTTTACACTACAAAGAGTGGTAGCATCGAGCAAAAATTTAAGTGAAATTTTAAGACTTATGATAAATAAATAAGTAAAAATTAAAAAAAAAAAATAAAATAAATAAATAAATAATAATAAAATTTTTAAAAAGCCATACCTCTATCACATCTTCGAGATGTTTCACATACTCCCTCTCTGCACTGAGTATCTCATTCACAACGTTGGTCCTGGCTTGGTCCTTGCTCAGGAAGCTGAAACTGCAGTGCCGCCTGGTGGTACGCGTGTCCAGGTTTCCGTCCTTCATCTTTTCTACATATTCTTCTGCTGTGTCTTCCTGGTTGGCTCGAAGCTGGAATAAAATGAGAAAAAAAAATGTTGGGTTTTATTGATCCTAAATACTCCATTGATTAAATGATGCCAGGGATAGTAACATTTGAGGACTCTCATTGTTTCCAGGTAGCACTTTATTTTTAACTACATGTCACAAAAGAGATCTTTACACCTTCTGAGTACAGTAACACTGCAGTATAGTTTAATTAAATAACAAACTTAACTGTGTTTTCTCTCTTTTGTTTACTTGTTCATTGTCAGTGGTTGCTATGTGAGTGCGCAATTACAAGGCAAATGTGGAAACAGACTACATCCTGTAGCTTTAATTAAGTTTGAGTTAAAACGGTGCTGAATGCAGCCAATGTCTTTTTACCCATACAAAAATTACACAGTGGATGATCACAAACAAAGTCTTCTTACTGGAGTTAGCCATAATTAAGTTTTAGATAAAATGATGTCGAATGCGACCAATGTCCTTACCCGTACAAATGCTGCGGGAAACCATCCCTCGCGCTCACCGATGATACCCCACCACCAGTCCTTGTCAGACATGTCTGTCACCTCGATGACATCGCCCGCCTGGAAGCGCAATTCCTCCTCATCCATGGTGACGTGGTCCCATAATGCCTCAGCATAAATGGGGGACTCATCTTCGAATATCTGGAAATGAGAGATTAGAATATTTCACTTCAGTTGAACACAAAACTCCGGTTACCCGTATATTTTTTTTCAATCTTGAATTTGATAATATATGTCGATCAAACTTATCAAAAATCTGTGTACATGTAGCAAATCTCAGTAACTTCCAACACCATGTCTTTACCTGAATCTCAAACACAGCATTTCTTTTAGTGTTTTCCTGTCGAACCATTGTCATTAGACCACTATCTCCTTTCTCTCTCTCTAGACTTCAATCTGAACAGTGCAGCTTATATACTGCCAACAAAATGCCTACGTCAGAAGTGACTATCACACAGCCCAGAATACAATGGGGATTGTTTTCGTTGAATAATTCGAGTCGAACACTCCTTTATGTAAACACCATCTCTCCTTATTACAAGAACGGAGATATTTCTTACCAGACAAATCATGAGGTGCTATTTTTGGAATTCTGGGAACGTTCACTATGGACAAGATAAGCAATCAATACAAACACCATAAGCCCAAATATCTGATTGCATTTAATTACGTTGAATGCTCAGCATGTCATCTATGCAATTAATAAATTTATCGCAATCACATTTCCCTGATGGGCTTAAAGAAGGAGCTTGGTCATATGGACCATGAAAAAAGTTTACATTTTCCAAATGAAAAGTTAAAATTTCCACTATGAACCCGTCAGGTATTTTTGAGGCCATGAAATACTGGAATCAATTTAATATAATGGAAATAAGAATCAAGAGATCAATCTTTCTTACTATAAATACATAACAGTATGTGTAAAAGGGTTGTCACTTGCGTATGACCTCACTCTTTGTGTGAACAAGCCTTGCTATAGGAGCAGACTGGTCTTCCTGTTTGGATATTGAGGCGTAAAGCTATCAGAAACCACAAGTATTATTAGAACTGCTGTTATCTCTTGGGCTCACATTCCACTACTGAGACTTCTGAGTAAATAAAGACAGAGGCAATGGGATATCATATCACCAAAATACCATAGTGTGTGTGTGTGCACACGCATTTGTGGGTGTGAACGTGCTGAGCCCCTACCTTCAGCTGTCAAAAGTAAGAGGGGAAGGGTGTGTGCGCGTGTATGCACGCACGCAAAAAATCAACTCGTACTGCCCAGTATAGCAATAATGTGTGAGAAAATGTCTCATATACTTTGGTACAAAGGTCCAGATTGCCAAAATACATTCAGTTACGAGTATGATACACATGTGCTCCCTATACCAATACACATTTACTTTGAAAAAAAAAAATCCTTTTGTTTTCTGGGAGCACCTGACACACAGGGCACCTATACCAACAAAACTTAACATGACAAGTTAATATAACATATTCTGTTGTCACCACAGTATCATGCTAAATTGTTATATCTATAAGTTTTCCTGGAGGGTGGATCATGTCAACATTGTCCCCACCCCTTCTTAAAATCTAAAATGACCGATCAATCTTATTTTTTATGACCACACAGTTTCTGATACCTTGACCACAATCCAAGGACAGTTTGAAGAAAAAATAGTCATTTGTGTCTTATATGTATTTTAGTTTCCGATACTATGACCACAATTCCAAGGACAGTTTGAAGAAAAAAAAAAAATCAGTCATTTGTGTCTTATATGTATTTTAGTTTCCGATACTATGACCACAATCCAAGGACAGTTTGAAGAAAAAAAAAATCAGTCATTTGTGTCTTATATGTATTTTAGCTTCCGGTACCATGACCATAATCCAAGGACAGTTTGTAGAAATAAAAAAGTCATTCATGTCTTATATGTGTTTTATGACAGAATTCACTCCATCATTACCAACCGGATATGATGCGGTGCCTTCAGGATGTAAAAAAAATAATAAACCTATTTCCTTCTTGTTAACCTGGATGTTATATATTCCAGTCACTCAAAAAATATATTTCTCCATAACTGACCAGTGGACAATGGACGTTAGTATGACAAAAGGTAGTTTAGGAATGTCTGTCCTTCTATTGTGACTGGCCTGGAAGATTTTACCTAACTTTCCCTGGAGCATGCTTTGACCACAGTCATTTACAAATAACTGTTGACCACTGCCACCTGAGCTGAAATGTTTGTTTTTTTTTTGATTCAATTTGACCCCCCTCCCACCCCACCAATTTCAATTATTTTTCAGCCAACAGGATATAGCCCTTGCTCTGCAGTTTTCCCTGGCATACAACATAATTTTCACTTTCTAAACAAGGAAACAACTCCAAATTCGTGAAAAGTTGTATAATCCAACAGCCTGAGGAACCAAATGGCATTTAACTTCATCAGTTTCAAAATATTTCCACGTACAAACAAGGTGAACATTTCTACAGTTGCCCAGGTGATAAAATTTAACTGCAGGCTCATTCTTTGAACAGCTTGGAATTGATGCCAAGATTCCTAGGGTATGAATTTTTCAAATTAGCACTCCACACCAGGTAGAATAACTTACCCATGCATGTTATTATTGAAAATTCAAAAAGCTTTTTAAAGGTTATAATTTTTCTTATATCATTCAATTGCTACTAGTAAAGGATTTTTCACATTAAATTTCATTTTAAGATATAGTTTTTATTTTTTCTGACTGATCTTTTTGTTTCAGTTTTTTTCATATGCTGAATATATAATGACTAAATATAATAAACAAACAAACAAATAAAAAAATCTTTTCTGGTTATATATAATTTCCCAATCAGCCCCCCCCCCCCCCACTTTCCAAGACGGGGCAGACAAAGCTAGGCTGACCCATTTTGACTGGAAACACGACTTCAGAACAGAGACAATCACTCACCTCCTCCATGGTATGGAGAGCAGGATGCGTAGAATGATCACTGGAACTCCGTCCACGAAAACTGGTGTGAAGTTCGTCATCAGAGGATGAGTCTGTGTCCGAGTCGTTGGAGGAATTACTGTATGTAGAGGTGCGGCTGAGTGCCAACGCAATCTCTCCAGCCTCAGTAGAAATAGCCATACCTAGATATAGATAATATAGATATCAATCTTGAAACCTCTACATTTGCTTTGCTATCATCATTTGATACAAAGAACTGGTCAATAATTTTGTTCAATATTTTGTTGCTTTCATCTATAAGGCAAAGCCAACTTTGAAGGGTCTAGCCTGGTAACTTTCACTTTAGCATCATTTGTCGAATATTATAAAAATCTCCTCTCAAAACATTCTATCTTAATAATATCATCACTTTACCACCTTCCCTCTTCTACATAATAATTTCCATAGTCTTAAACCAACAGAAACAAAGCATAACGGTTCAACAAGGAAACTTAGGAATAAAACGATAAATAATCTAAATGAAGAAATTCACCCTGTGCAAAGATGGCTTTTCTTCTCTTCCCGGCGTGGTGTATGGTTTCTGGGTTGCTAAGAGATCTCACCAACTGCGGTCTCTTGTTGTGTCGGGACTTGGGTGGACTTCTCTCCACGCGGTTCTTTATGGGGTGTGGGGTAGACATCTGAGACAAAAAGGAAATATAAACTGAGACATGGTACTTGGAGAGCCAGAGATCTTTTTTTTTCCTCTCTCTCTCTGCTCCTGTGTGTGCAGGAAGCCTATGCATGGTTCTATACTGTAATAGTGCATGTTTTTTTTCTTTTAACGTAAATGCAACAAAGTAAAAAGTCGCTGTTAAAAACCATAATTCCCTTGGGCAGTATGCAGATGAAGATGAAATGCTTGTAAGAAAAACTTGGACAGACACTAGTCAGCAGAGATTTGAGAAAATCAATCAAACTATCAATTAATTATATTACAACCAGTCACCCCCCCCCCCCCCCAAAGAAAAAAAAAACTTTTTTGATGGACTAGCTGTAAAACCAAATGCCCTAACACTAAGCAAATGACCACCTAAAGGAGACATCCAGGCACTCTCCATGCCAGAAAAGAAATAAAAAGCCGATGACATAATCTCAAGTTGCCAGGTCCTTTTTCGCCTTGGAGGTAACAAAACATTCACGCTGTTAGCATATCCACAAGAAGCAAGACGACTGATAAGGGTTACGTAAATAATTGGCCTTGACATTGCTGTGAAATTCTGAATAGCAGACCAGGAACTTTTTACTCATCTGCATGGATTATGCCAGTGTTTTTGGATAGAAATTTGCTTACGAAATCCAGACCAAAATTTTTGTCTTCTTCAGATCACAGTTAACCTTTCACCTTTATGTAGTCCACTAAAAATGAAGCACCTAATGATCTTTCCAGTTTACAAAACAGACGTAATATCTCATTTAAAACACACTGCTGATTTATATAGGCAAGTCTGACAGTTAATGCCAACTTTTTGTCTTTCGGTCTGCTGTTCTGTCGTGAAGGGGCGGCGGTCGTGGTGGTGGTGGTGGTGGTGTGCGCATGTGCGTGTGTGTGTGTGTGTGTGTGTGTATGTGTGTGTGGGGGGGGGGTAGCTTACCCTTCTTGACTTGAGTCCTGGCCTAACCATCTCTTGCATGCTCTTCTTTTTCTCTGAGGTAGTGAACAGGGGAGGTGTGCGCATGCCTTCTTCAAACACATCCTCCGCCTTCTCTCCGCCATATAACTTCATGGCCTGCGATACCAGTGAAATGCCCCCTAAAAATATACAAAAATAAATAAATAAATCAGAAATTAAAAACTTAAGTGAAATAATTATTTTTCTGTCAAAATTATTAAAAGGTTATTGGCAGCTGTGAGAGCTCATTTTAGACCCACCTCCAACCTACTGTGGTATATGATTACATTTCTTCAGTGAGATACTCGTTTCATAATAGAAATTTTCTCTCTTTTGATTCCCACAAAATGCCACATAAAAACAGAATGAAATTTATCTTGGCTGATTCTTCTCCAAATAAATTATATTATCAGGCACTTTTCATATTTGATAACATAAGGTAAGTCCCCCCCCCCCCCCCCCCCACAGGCACACACAAATCAGTTAAAGTGACACAGATTTACCAAATACATAAATTATGACCTCTTGCATATCATGAAAACGATATCACAACGAGATGCAAAACCTTTTTTAAAATGGAATTGCCGCAAAGGTTGGAAAAGAAGTGAGCCATGGCATGGTAATTGCAGGAGGCACATGTACTTTGCCAAATAAAATAAGACTTGGAAGTCAATTATGGCAAAACATCTTAGGCATATATAACTACATTATAGTCAGGAAGTACCTGAACACAATTAAGGTAACATAAAGTTGTTATATCTAAGCCAATTTCTGTCAAAAAAAAAAAAAAAAAATAATAATAATAATAATAATAATAATAATAATAAATAAAATAATAATCATAAAAAAGATTCACCTTTTTATTAGCTAAGAGTCTTGAAAATCATCACAACGTTCTCTTCTTCCATCTACTTTTTGCATATTACATGCCTTGCCTCGTATACAAATCTACCTTTCTATCAGACACCCAGGTAAATCATCGTAAACAACTTCTAAAAGCCAAAACTAACAAGGCTACATGTTTCATCAATCTCAGCCTCACTCTGCCAAACTTCCTTCTGCTCTTCAATTAGTATTTTAAAGAAGAAGTTCAAGGAGAGAGGGATTTTACATCAAAACTCGTTGACAAAAATAAGTATCATTTCAAAAAGCAAAATACTGTGACCTAATATAAACTGGTAGTTAACCATCATTGTGCCAAGTTCATAAAAATAAATAAATAAAGACTCAATCAATGTTTTAAACCAAGTTATTTATGTGAATTCAGATGACTATTTAAATTTTCACAGACTAACCGTTGGTTAAAGTATATTGAATTTTAAATTTTGGTCTTTGTGAAGGTGACGCCAGACCATACTGAATACGTTTGTACCAAACGATTTTTGACATTACTGTATACACAATGAACCAAAACTTTTTGCTAATATTAGACCCTGTCCATACCTTAAATAGCAGAGTTTTAAATAATGTACAGCAACTGAAAGGGAATGGACTTCTTGACTTATCACTACTAACTAAACCATTCTGGCATTTTTTTAATCTCTTCAACTTACCTGCTACTATAGTAAACATAACACGAGTCAGTATATGCCTTTCTTTATGCCGATTTTCTTTAACACTGAGCACAAAATACAACAACATCAAGTGACTGAATCCATCCTGCATTTCAACATGCTCTAGGCAGAGCAGACCTACATACAGAAGATTCACTTTCCTCTCTTGTTACTACGCACACAGCCTGCTTTTTTTGGCGAAAGGAAACTCGTGTGTTGCCAAGAAAATAAAAGTCAAGAGTGATAGTGCAGATAAGTCAGACCCTGCATGTGTACATTACTTGTGGGAGATAAATCTTCAGCTTTCTCCTGTGTATGAATGTTTCATGGCAATTTAGAATGCTGCTGCCTGTAACTGCTATGTTATGTTTTATGAGACTATAAATCTATGATACTTATGATAAATTACATAAATTACTTATTAGCATAAACGGATAATATTCTTTTAGTCATAAACAAAACAATACTTTCTCTTTGTAATCTTCACAGTGCTTTGAAGATCCTTTGACTATAAATCTCATATAATATTTGATGAAATTATTATAATCATTATGAACATTATTGGTTATTCTTATTACGCCAAAAAAAAAAAAAAAAAAAAAAAAAAAAAAAAAAAAAAAAAAAACTACCCTAAGACTTCTATGCTGGTGATACATACAGAAGAGTAAGAACTTAGTGGATAACCATACATTTGATCATTTTTGTCCTTTTTCCATCTTTTCAGCAGAGAAAACGGCTACATCTTTCATCCCTCTATCAGTCTAAGTCACAATCTAATTTCCTGCTCCCATTTTTCCCCAATCAATTGTTTTTTCTAAACTATTTTCCTAGCAATGTTAAGCAAAATTAACTAGAACATTCCAAAAACTGTTCTCTCTGTGTTGGTACCTGTCTACTTAGTAAGAAATTAGATTACATAACATTAATATCAATTCAACAGGCTCTCCTCAAAACTAGTTTTAAAGTTCGATTGGTTGGCAAGCAAAACCTGATCCAACGACCATACTGATTATCCAACACAGAGCATCTCTTTCTGTGTGGAGAGAGAGAGAGAGAGAGAGAGAGAGAGAGAGAGAGGGAGAGAGAGAGAGAGAGAGAGAGAGAGAGGTCCAACTACACCACAGAAATTCAAATTAATGAAAATTCAAAGGAATGCCTAATGAGTTGGTCAAAATATTAGCCAGACTAACAATGAAATTTGTCCGAACATATCCCCCTGTCATGCATACAAAATACAGACTTAATTTGCAAGAACTCTTTGTTTTTACTTACTTCCTTTGGTCGCAGCACTTCGACTTTGAACCAGAAAACGTTGTCGCAAAATCTTCATGTCGATGCATGTGCTGTACGAGAATCTCAGCTCAGTCTTATATAGATTACACATTAAGTCCAAATCAATCCTTAATTTCATATATCCTCAGTCTAGCACTGCATGCTCACGCTATCTCAGTTTGCATCCCATGCAATCAAAACGACATCAGCAAATTTGAATATAAGATACAGAGAGACAAAAAAGATGTATTCAAAAACACACCAAAACAGAAACAATCCCAAGCAAAATAATTCTTTCTAATTCATCACATTTCCCTTGCCTGTCACTCAACATTATGAAAATCACCCTGTCCGGTGGCCGATTAAATACTGCCCTGGAATTTGCATATTAACCTTTTCCAACTCGCCTTCTTGGCATAACCCTTTTTTCTCAAGTCAGGATCTTAATACGTAGCACTATCACCAGGAGTATTCCAGAATCCATCTTCTTGGCCCACATAGACATAAAGTGAAAAATACCTGAGGATTTCTATCCTAGCTTAGACATCCAGCAAATGTCAATTCTCATTCATATCCTGTCTGGTTTTTATTGCAGCCCTTAGGTATGAATCCCAACTATAAAATCTACCAGTTGCTACTGCCTCGGAGGATAGTGCATATTCAAATTCCGTTGTCCTAACCTACGTAAAAGTTTAATCAACACGAAGGTGAGGATTTGTACCGTGGCTCACGCATGTGCTCCTTATTGTTTCTTTCTTTGTTTTCGTCAGTTCAGAGAAACCTTCCGGGCACAATTACACGATGTCATGACACCAGGTTAAGATGGGTGGGGACTACGCGTGTGCACGCATGCATCCGTGTTGTGACACGAAAAGCTCTGCCCAATAGAAGTCTACGCTTAACTTCATAACAAAAAATGCAAAACTAGAGAACACACTAAAAGCATTTTTTAAAAGGAACTTTAAATTTAAAAAAGGAGGAAATTCTGGAAAAAAAATAGCTATAATGCATGTGATAATGAATAAAAAGTTGGAGACCAGCTGCATAAAAAGAAAGGTACGTCCATGACATTCCTACACAGTTAATCAGGCCAAGAGACCTAGAAACAGTTTGAACATGATTTGTAATTATAATTTGATTTTATGGCTTGATTAATTAAAGCTCAACATGTTCTTAAGCTACAGCAGTTTTTTTATATCTATGGGGACCTCTAGTATAGGAGGACATAAAAAAACTGCTAAAAGTACTCTTACTAGTAAGGTCCACTGTGGATCATTCAAGCACACACGCACATATGCAATTAACAATGTGTCCACAAGGGGATTTAAGATAAAAAACAAAGTTGTTTACTAGTATATCTATATTAACATTATACCACAGGATTGATTTCAGTCCCAACACAAGCGTCATTACAACTTCGGTCATGTTTTTCTCTAAATCTATTGCGGTAAAGTATGAGCAAAACCTTATAGTACCTTTCAAGTTATAAATAACGTGTAATATTTAAATTACCATTTTTTGATGAGAGAAGAGATAATTATTTTCTTCTCTCTTTAAAATTTCATAATTCTACGTTCGTTATACAAATGACAAAGCCAATGTTAAACAATAAGCAAAAATGTATGTCTTGTTAAATGTTAATGAATACATAATTAAGTCCATTTTCATTTAATCAGTAACTGTGTGAAATAACAACAAAAAGCAGTTTGTTATTTTTAAATCTGTAATTACCTTCATGAAGGACAAGGACTCATTATCCACATTTTATTATTATTTTGTTGTTGCATAAAAGATATTTTTAAAGCAAAATGTCATACACAGCAAAAGTGATTGCTTGTAAGAAACAAAGGATCCAGTACGGAAAATTTAACTCAGCTTTACTTGTTTTGAAAACTCTTTTCAAACTGTCTCCAAGAAGATATTCAAAAAGTATGGTGTAGTATGTATGATAACTTTACTGTATCTATTTTACTTGCCAACAACAGGCAAAATATAAAAAAATTTATAATACATAAATAAAAATGCCGACTAAATAGAAATGAATTAATGGAAAAAAGAGGAATACGGTAGATATTTCCATTGGATTCTGCCAAAAGATAATTCACCTGCGGCATTTGGCAGAAAAACTATGGGAACAGGTGTACTCGAGTGCTGCTACGCCACACATGTAACTACACGAGGAGAGACTTTGAATCAGGCCAAAATAAAGCTTTAAACAAGTACTGTTGACAATGAGAAAATACGCATGAGAATGAGTAATGAAAGAAAAATGATTAGCTTGTCCACTGATTGAATTTCTTGGCAAGCACAACAGAGAAAAGCACGTTTTACATGCGGGTCACATGCACACTCATGTGCTTGCAGATCCAGGAAAAGTGATAAAAAATAAAATAAAACCCTAGAATTATGCGGTGAAATAAGAGAGCCTTCATCCAGGGACTTTTATCAACTTGATTTACATCCAAGCTTAATATCCTGATTTGGAAGCTAACCCACTAATGTTTTACATCATTAATGATTGGGTTTATAGGATAAAATTGTAATAACCAAGCTGTCTTTCAGAACAATTCACAGGATAGGAACCCTTACTATTTACATGTTTTTTTTTTCTTTTTGAACAATTAAATCATTCTTTTATACAAATATACATGGAAAGAAAAGAGGAGTATAAGTAAGAAAAACAATAATTGTATTTGTGAAGATGAGAGAGAGGGAGAGAAAAAAAGAAAAGAAAGAGAGAGGGTCTCAAACTCACCTGCTTTCATGTCCTATCTCAGTTCTCAAATTAACTACACCAATGAACTTATCATTCAGAAATCACTAAGCACGTAACATTTTCCAGAAATGTTCTCTTCCTGATTAGATCAACCAAGACGACAAATGGAGTGAAGCTTTTGACTGGATTATAAATCACTGATCTGACCTACTTCAGAACCCTGACCAAAATTCGAAGGAGAGATCAAAGGAGATTAAGCAATCTACAAAAGAGGAAATCAAACCTCCCGACATCAACTGAAACTGATCTAATTAGAAGAAGTCCTTCATCTTTCATACATTGGCGAAAAAAATCACCACCACCCCAGCAACAAAATTCTAATAAGTCATCATTCACATTTAAATCTTTACCTTTCCTCGTGTTCCTCCCAAAAAATATCAGACTTATTTGATCCTTGTGTCCTATCTAACTAGGTTAAAAACTTAGTGTTAAACAAATTAAACTACAGGTATTTTGTGTACTTAACTGTATGTAACCCACCATGGAAAAACGAACATCCTGAAGGAAAAGTCAATAATTCCCACACTGTTCAATCACACATACCTTATCAGTGATAAATCAGACAACTATGTTAGCAAATGCGATACGCTCTGCCAGGTTATTTACTCTCTATCTTTCTCTTACTCAGGGATATACAGGATACTGATGACAATCCATTTTGAAAATAAGCGTGAACTTATCTTTTTTTTCTCCTTTTTTTTTTGGCTACGTTTTTTGTTAAAAACAACTACTAAATTTGTCATATATATATATATGCTGTTTTAGAACCAGTGCTGTAAACAAGATATACTTCACTTAAAATATTTCAAAAGAAACCTCGAAATACGGGATGCAGTACCAAAGGGGAAAAGGGGAGGGGAGGGGGGTCTTTTCTCAGTAAACAGGAACAGGAAATTTATCAGGAAGTTTATCTACCTGTGCCACAGGTGACTGGTTAATTTTCACCTTAATCGCCACCAGAACTTGCCAAGGTACACGATTTAACTAATTAATATGTAACCCATACAGTTTCCTATGAATTCAGTAGTTCCCAAGAACTTACCAAGAGGCACACAAGTGGGAGAGCCATATGGAGTTTTTGATCTCATTACTAATACTTTTCTTTCAAAGCTTTAAATCCACTAACTTATCCACTGATAAAAATACTCCCTTGTATATAAACAGGGTATGAATTTTCTTTTTCAGTTTTGATCTTTTCAATGATTTGCATCACTGAACTGCCATAATGAATCTCTGAGTGTTAATTATTCCCCCCAAAAAATCATCCGTAACTTAGCAAATTTAATCTTTTTCAACACAGCAAATAAATATATGAAAATTATCAAACACAATGCCAAAAACCTTCATACCGTTAGTTTATGTTAGTAACCTTGATGAAAAGAGAGAGAGAGAGAGAGAGAGAGAGAGAGAGAGAGAGAGAACACTTACCCAGATCATCAGACTTGGGCCTGGGTTTTTCTGTACAGCGCCTGGGTCCGTTCTCTTCCCAAATGTCATTGGTCCAGTTGGAAAGGTAGTCGGACTTTGGGCGTTCCTTGGTGGAAGGAGGCGACTCTCGGAGCAGAATGTCATCTCCCTGTAAACAATTACAAGATATGCTATGAACTCAATTTGTTGACTTTAGTTCAAAGTACTATAATCAAATAGATAATTAAAATAAATAAATAAAATGAAAATTAATTTAAAATAAAAAATAAAATAATTCTCTTAAATATTACTGCCTACAGAATTTGACAAAATAATATTTATTCAATTTCACTCAAAGTTGACATTTGGCTTATTGAAAAAATGCTGAGATAGATCAAGTGTTTGAACCCAAAAATTGGTTTACTGATACAAAAAATTAACGCATCATGTAACAAGATGCCATTTTCCTAAGTCAAGACTTCAGCTTCTGAAAGTGCATGTGTATGAATGTGCATGCTAGTGTACCTGAACTTGCATATAGGTAATTATTACTTATTATACTGGATCTAACCATACACTCTGCCCTATTCTTCTCTTCCTACTAAAACTGCTCTAGGAGCAATATGAAACCAAAAAGTATGTACCATAAGGCATTAAATGTTTCATAATCCTGATGTGGGGCCATCAAATAATAACAAAGGGTTTGGCACATGGATTAATGTAGAAACCTAATGCATTAGTCTCTCTATCCAAGTGTAGGGGCCCTGAAGGAATAGCTTTGATATGACAATATCCTTGAGGCATGGATAATGAAATTCAACTGGAAAAAAGCTTGGAAGAAAGGGTGGCTTGACCTTTGGTGCCATCATAATGAGCAATTAAATACCTCTTTTCAATTATATGGACTTACTATGTTATTAACAAGTAAAAAGAAAACAAAACACAACCAACGACCTCTTTTCAATTACGTGTCTGTTATCAAATCTTTACAAAGAAAAGTTAAGTAACATTCTGACCAAAAGCCAAAGTGGAAAAATCTACCTTAAGGCATACCTATTTAACTTCCGGATTCTTATGTCAAAGTCATGTCACAACAAGAATATACCATAATAATGCAAAAAATGTCAAACCTGCAGTGCAAATCTTTTAACTTCTACACGATTTTTTAATAGCACCATCTTAAAGTTTATAAGTTGCTTTTTTCCAAAAACATATTTATGTTACGTTCTTAACATTCCTTACATTTCCAAATAGCTGACACCAGTCAAATGTATAAAGAAAGAAATTTGTACTCAGGTGTGACTTTGTCAGTAACTTAAAAACAAAAATCATAATAATAAACAATTTATACAACAAATCAGTGATAAACCAGCTAAAAATGCACACTGGTCATCAAATTCTGGTGGTCCTAGAGAACTGCCTAAAAATTGAGAAAAAAATTTCAACACAGCAGTCTGAAGGAGTTGAGTGTGTTAGAGAAGCACTTAGGTATACAAGTGTTATCACATTGTGTTGGGTGTGACATCACAACATGGAACAATCACCCCAACTGAACTGATTTATCAGGCAGTGGAACACAGGATGCTTAAACTGAAGAAAAACCTTGATATTTCACAAACTTGTCCTTAATCAAATTATTGCTTTTCTTTAATTTTTTATTAATATAAAATGACAGTAGTATTGCCCTCTATTGAATTCTCCTCTTCAGAATTTTACACAATGTCCAACTGCTATGTCAGCTGGTGTTCAACATGCACAGGAAATCATCTACTTTTTCTTCATGAAACTTTTAGAGAATTTTGAAAATATGTATTCCCCTAATTCCATTGTTTCCAATAACTAAATATGCAGTCACATTCTTTGCCTTTCAAAGTTATGTACATGAGGAATTATTTATGTTTTATACACCCAATTTCTTTAAAAGGAGCATGGGCATTTGAAAGTGACCAATTTTATTGGAGCTTCTCCAACACAGACACAAAAGCATTGGCCAACACGGATGCTAAAAGAACGAACAGGCAAAACTTGGCAAGTGAGTATGCCAAGGAATTACCAGAGCAGAAATTCACTGGCAAATGGTTATTTCACTTCTGCATATAAATTACTGTGTTATGCATAGAAAGCTTCACAGTGGAAAGAAATATTTTTTCTGTGTAAATCATCAAAAGGTGTGAGAGCTATTATTTCTATGTTCATATATCACACTATAAGTACACAGCATCTAGTAAGTAGTGCAATACTCTGCCTGCAACAAACATTTCTTGCTGAAGCAGCAAGGTGCAGAAAATTATTCTACTTTACCCAAATCAATTTTGTTTTTACAAGTACGGAGGGGGGACAGGGGATGAAGACGGGAGGGTTAGAGACCACCCTTTTGGCCAGGAAAAAAAATTACACTTTCAACTTAATCCAGATCTCTTATTATCTTTAAAAATAATAAATCAGTTTAATTGGTTTAACAATATCAATTTCCTTTCTTTATTGGTAGAGGTCAATATGATGGAGTGGTCTTTAGTTACGAATTGTAACCACACACTTGCAAGTTATGTTGTCCCAACTTAAATGGAACTGCAGCCTTAGTTCAGATGTATGCTGTTATTCAAGCATGTTATTGTGTTATTGCTGCATGCAAAAGAGAAATATAATGATAAGCACTACAAATGAACTCTTACTAGATTACCCATTTGCAATCAATATCAAAACAGATTGCAATCACTTTGAGGGTGCTATCTCACAGCAATCGACACACAAACTTACTTTGAGTGACTCGCTGCTAGACAACACGCTGTCTTGAATGATCCCACTATCGCTACTGCCACTATTTGATGCTGCCACTTCCTGTCTCACCATGGCAGCCATTTTTTCCAGCTCAGCCAATGGAATGTGACTACTTTTCCTTCTGCGGGGCTGACCTTCCTCGGCGCCGTCTGCTGCAGATTTGGAAGAATCCCTTCTAGACGGACTTTCAGTTGTTTCTGAGGTAATAAGGTGATGAACATCATGTGATAAACGTTTCAATCCCCCAACATTTTCTGTCGTGTCTTCCTGACCCAGGTCCGCTGAATCGAAAGTATTTCCACGCTGTTTACCGAAAGCAGATCGACGTGACCTGACTACAGGGCTGCTTATTGCAGTGCTCTCCTCTGAAGGTTTCACACAAGGCTTAGGACTACTGGGTCGAGGTGGTTGTTCAAAAAGAGACACTGGGGCCAGCGAACTCGCTCCCCCTCCTCCAATACCGCCATATGTGGAGTGACTCCGTATAGGCGGATGGAGAAGAGAGTCTTCAATCTGTTTTTTAATCTCCGGGGATATAGTCCCCGTGCTGTTGAAATTTCCAATAGTTTTGCTCCGTCGATGTCTCATACTTTTGCTCCGCGGAGCCCCTGGATATAATCCTATGTCGTCATCCTCCTCACTAAATGTCACGATGGGACTCAAATGTCCCAGCTCGTCAGAATTCTCGGAAAAAACTCCACTGGTTTTGGGTGAGTAACCTGGCAGTAGTGTCAGACTGGGCGAAGTTGGGACAGAATTTGAAACTCTTGGCAGACTCTCGCCAAATTTGTGCCCATTCCTAGGGGTGGAATCGACAATAAGATTTTTCAAACGCTCCCGCCTTTTATCCTGAAAAGATCGACTTTTGCCAAACATCCTTCGAAATATCCCAGGGCTTTTTGGGCTTCCCACTGGAGACTCTTGTATAAGATCCTCGATACGAGGTGACCCTGCAGAGTAAATAATGTCACTCGCTGGTGACTCAATTTGTTCTCTACCCTCTGGAAGAGGCGATAAATGCGTTGGCGAAAGAGGGGACCCTGTCTTCACATCAGCATCCCGCCATTCGGGACTTGTAGGTTTGGGTGAACTGCAACTATTACTGTCAATTACGTCCACCTTCTGGGCCTCTTTAAAGCTCTTGCTTCGTGTACGGTTCAATAACGAGGACACTTCATCATCCTGGGTGGCCAATGATAACCTGGTCATCCGGTTGTCCAGTTCTGAATCGGTCAGCGATTTGACCTCCCGGTTGGACTTTGACCTCATCAATTTTTCCCGTTTTGCTCGTAGCCGATTCATTGCTGGACTTTCCTTGTTCGGCAACGACAGGATGATTCGTCGATTAATATCCAATGGACTAATTAACTTACTTGTTTTTTTATCACTAGAAAAAGTTTCTAGGTCATCATAATTATTTCCATTAAAATCCAATGAGGCACTGCTTTTCCTACTTTCCGCCTTGTCTCCCACAAAGAAATTCACCTTGGGCGAGGATCCCCCTTCCTCGGAATCCTCATCAAACAAATCCTCCTCCTCCTCCTCTTCTATTGAGGTATATCCTCCTCGACTGGAAACCTGGAAAAGCCTGGTGAACTCCTTAACGCTTCCATCAGAATCAAAACTAGTCTCCTTCCTGGTCACCAAGAGTGAGTTTGTGGGGAGACTGTAACTCCGGCGATATTTGTACACCGTGGAGTCCGAGTGGTTCTGCCTGGTTAGGCCACGAGGCGTAGCTGTAGAAGTAGTATTACCAGCTACCCTGGTTGACCCAATAGTCGTAGGAATGGATGTCGTGGTCCTTCTCCTACCAGTGACTCTCCGACCAGAGGAAGATGTAGCTATGTCACTACAGCTGATGTCTCCTGGACTAGAGCCTATAGACTTTTCCTCTACCACCTGAACAATGAGAAGCAGATGATATATGCAGTGTTAGTAACAGCCCAGTCAAGTCAATAATACACTGGTTCATATGTGGTCAGTTATACCAAGTCAGTGTCTTACAAGTGGTCAGTCTGTTAAATAAATAGCCATAACCATCACCATAGCCATGCAGGTGAACAGCCAGCCCATGCCCTCTCTCTCTAGGTCAGTAGCCAGTTATAATGCAAGAAGTATGTTAACACAGCAATACAGACTCATCACAGTCAGACAGGTTCTCATGTGCAATTTTGCCATTTAGGTTCTGCTCATTAAGTATCAATTTCATAGCCCATAGGTTGAAATTTAAAAAATTTACATCATAAATTGGAAGAAATATTTTTTGAATTAATGAAAAACAAAGTAAATAAATAAAATTTAAAAAGTAAATAAGTAAATATAGGCACCCACATGTTGGAATAGACTCATCCAATTCATGTAATATTACATGCAACTGGATTAGCCCATCTTACATCACAAGGGGTGACAGGTGATCAGAATGTCTTTTCTTTTATCATGCCCTAAAATTTCAGTTCATGAAGTTGTTAGTCAACTTGTTCCCTAGTCACATAATCAAAAATATATGACAAACTAACTAATTTTCTTTATACTTCTAGAAGTTTCTGGACAGCAGAAAACATATGGGAATTCAAGGGAAATGCAAATCTTCAGTGCCAATTTTTATCTTTGTTAGACAAGAATAGAAAGCAGACGTTGTCATCAATTTTGCAGACGACTTCATGAATGAGAACATGTCTGATAAGTGCTGCAACTGTCGATATTGCTGGCTTCTGACCAAGAGGGTAGATTAACACATATACAAGTATATATATATACAATACATACCCACACATACAAATACATATACAGTAACCCATGCATCAGAGACTTAAAATTTATTTTGAAGTTCAATATCTACAAATTTTGATTTTTTTTTTAATACTAGAGCCTTTCATTATGGCCAAACAACACCCACATCAGGGAATTATTTGATTATTTTCTCAAAAACATTCTGGCACTTTCCAAGTTACATATGATACATGGTTTTTACAATTTCTGAAGTAGAAAAAGAAAACTAGCAAAAAAACAGGGTGAGAAATAATGAAACTGGGACCATTTCGGCTAAAAAATTGAAAATTTTCAATTATTCTCTGAAGCACAGGGTACAGCACTGAAGCAATTATCTGATATACCAATCAACATAACTCAATAAGTCAACTGAATAAGCTAAATGCACCTGCTATTTAATCAAATACACATGCATACAAACTCCTAGAAACAAAACTCAATATAAAATACAATGATGACTTGGTGAGAAACACAGCAGGGTCACTGAAGAAAGGGGTATAAATTGCTTAATGCAGAGACTAGAAGGGTTTTGTTGAAAATTAGATGGAATGTGCCACCTGTAAATATTGTATTTGATAAATGAAACTCAATCAAAACGTTTTAGAACAATGCAATGCTTGGAGAAAAACATGGGAATGGAGGTGGGGTGCACTTAACAGGGAGGTAAATATTTAACCATTTTGAAAAAAAAATTATGAATAAATCAAGAATGTAATATTCTGGGTGAAACAGTAATCAAAAGTAAAAAAAAAAGTCTTGGTTCAAGAACAGAAAACTCACAGCAATAACGTCACAACAGGAACAAAGTAATTAAATTACTTTGCAGACCTGTTTGGCCCTTGTTTGTAAGGAAATAAATGCTAGAACATACAAAGAAAACTACAGTATGCTTAACCCTTTCAACTTGATTACCACAAGGAAGGCATCCATCAAGTATTTAGTTATTTCTGGATCCCACTTCTTCACTCCCCCCCCCCTCTCTCTCTCTATCTCTCTCTCTTAATCCCAAACATATACACACCATCATGTACATCAGTGAATTTTACTGGAAATAAATACACTTATTACAGTAGAATATTTGCCCAAATGCATACAATGGCAAACTTATCTCAAACAATACATTCCAACCTCATAACTTGAAAGATTAGCACTTTAAACCCTTATAAAAGACGTAACCTCAGCATTAAAGACAATACTAGTACTCATTTTAGCGTGAACAAGGCAGAAATCTCATCTAAGACCCCAGCTTTTGCCACCTTTGAAATGTTGTAGAACACTTAATCTGGGATCATGCTTTAAAGCTGTCAGCCTGATGTTAGGTCACAATACAGACTAATTAATTTACAATGATCAAAGCAACAGCTCTGCAAGGTGCTACACATTTTCCAACACAATAGCATATCTGGATATAAGAGCAATCTCCATACGTATACTCACAATGGTCCGGCTCTGAAATTTTGCTTCAGCTTACATATAAATCCACCTAAGCACCAAGGGCAAATTTTCCATCAAGACTTTTGTATCTTATTTATGTTTGTTGCCTTGGTCACAGAAGGTTCTGATTAATAAATAACCTCCGAGTCCAGCAAGTCTGTACTTTTAATATGAGTAATTACCATCATTAAATAATTTCTCTGAAAAAAAAAATCTAAATTTATCAAATACTACTAATTGCTTGGATAATAGTCTTGAATAGGTAAGTCTCATTTTCATCATGTTCTGTTTCTGAATTTTTCTACCTCAAAAAATGAGGAGAAAAAAATACAATGGTCCATTAACAGATGGAATTTTGGAGAAACTGGCATAAAATATGACCCCAGTTCCTCTAACATTTCTCTGCAAGCATGACATAATGTCTCCCTTGCTACTCAAATTTCAAAATTGGACATTACAATAGCCATGGTTCATTTAACTTATAGCAGGGAATATAGCATTAGAAGGCGTTTCACATGAGAGCTTTAACCCCACAACTGGTCTTAACTTTTAGCCCAAAATTCAAGTCTACATTGACTTAAAACGGATCAGTAATAGCTCAAAATTAGTTCACATTTGATTTGCTGCAAAAATGATGCAGTAATTGCTTCAGTTCAACAGCTCCTTTATTTAAGAAGTCCACTAAGGATTTATCTTGAGATAAACTACACACACTTTCAATCTTTACATTTAGACCACTGTTCAGGCTTAACTAGTTATTGTCTGATCACAGCTCAACTTTCAGCTATTAGCTTAAGTTGAAGAAAAAAATAATGTTTCTCAAATTACTATTTTCCTTACTGGACCTTAAAAACAATTCATGGTTCAACAGATGGCCGCTAATTATAATAAAGTTGCAAATAATATCCTAATGCCATTTCTTGGAAAGGGAAGGAATTTATTTGAAAAAGTAATGGTATCTTTAATCTAAGTTTATACATCACCATGGCAACACATTAAGAAAAGGGTCCAATGGAGAAGAGGTCTACAAATCAAATCATTCATTTCACAATAACTTGCTAACAGTTTTTGAAATTCGGAACAACAGAAGTCCTTTCTACCTGTATCTCATTGTTTACCGCAGGCTATCTTCAAAGTCGATGCGGCCAAATTTCTTGTTAAATCCTCACTCCTTGCCCACAGGGCCGCAAACAAGACAAAGACAAATTGGCACACTTCATCAGCGTACCAACTCCAAAGTTTGCATAATCCTCCTCAAAACGGGGACAAAACTTCCTTCACCAGAGCAAGCTTGAGAGGACGCCATTTCTACTGCAATCAAGTCCATCCCCACCCCCATTCAAGGCGTTACCAAATTACATTGTCAAGGGCAGGAGGGCCGTTACTTCCCATTGCATAAGACAGTACACAGGAGCATCCAGCGTGAGGATGAATTGCCTTAATCAACGCATCAGATCTACAAGAAATTACATCACTTGTAAACAAACCCTAAATGGCGCCATTTCCATTCCGCCCAAGGCTAATCCCCTTCCCCTGAGGGCTGGGGAAAAAATAAGAGTCCATTATTTAATGACCCTTCCAACAATAACCTGAGGATTTTGTTTTGGTCAGATATAAACAAACTAAACAATATACGGCTCTGCTACGTGAAATATTGATATAAGAGGGATTTGGAAAATTATCAAGCTGTGAACTGTATTTGTTGTGTTACGATTTTGAGGATTTGTGGCAAAATGGAGATTTTAACCTCATTTATAAATTGACCGCTTCATAAACTGGACGTGGCTCGAGGGTGTTGAAGTGACCACTTTTAACTTTACACAATGCATAGGATTAAATATTGTTGTATTTAGGGGCTGGTTTGAAACTGGGGAATAATGCCTTTTTGACCTTATTTGTAAATTAGCATCTGCACGTGTGTCAACAAATCCAGCGCCCATGAAAAAATGTACATTGTTGAAACAGAAGTCGGGATGGGGTTTCTTTTCACTATTTATTTGCCACTGGTTCTCGCCTACAATTTCATGGCTTTTGTTGGGAATATTCATAACTAGGTCAATCAAGATTATTAATACTTAATAATGCCATCAAAACAATTTTCAAACATTGTGACATTTTGGGCGAAAGCCAAATTCCAAAGAACAATCTTGTATATACATGGTTTGTTTACATAAAACTGTTACAGTAAACAAACTTTGGATATATATACAAGAATGTTATACCTTTAAACAAAAATTTAACTTTTAAGTTACAAAAAATCCTAATTCAATCACACGATAATCATCCAGTAGCTTTTGTTTTGAGGACTTTTATTTGTCAAATTCAAATTAGAAAAACAAACAGTTTCTCCCATCAAAGTCAAAAATACAATAATAATATTATTATTCACGAGTACAATTTCAAAGCATTTTGACTCACTTCTGCAAAACAAACTGTATACAAACAAACAAGACCTAAATCTTAACCAGGTAAACAAACATTTCACCTCCGAGCATATATAAACAAGAAACTTAACACTTGTTTTCTCTACTCACTATGTCAAAATTTTGCTTTCCATATTTGTATCAAGTTTTACCGAAAGTTACAACTGCAAAATGTGAGAGGGCATATTGATATTTATTTAAAATTTTTGACCAAACTGTTAGTGCACATGAAATAAAATATAATTACCCTCGTTAAGGCTTGCATTAGGCAGA